CTGTAGCTTCTGCATACATTACTCGTAGTGGACGCCACGTTCACTTCTCGGACCGGCTACTCTCTCATCCTGTTTAGACGTTTGTATTTCCTTCGGCGTCTTTTGATTTTTACGCCCCCTTCGGTCTGGCCGGGGGGTACTGTGGCGAGGTCCCAGACTATTTTTGGACCTTCAACCTTCTCGCTTCCATGTTTGCTTGACTGACCTTTGTGTTTAAAAGCATTGACCACACTGCTAGTACGTTATTGCTGTGAGTATCGCTGGACTCAAGGTTGTAATTATCTTATTAATATTTTGCATACCTTCGAGCTCTTGCTGTTTTTTTAATTATTATCTTTGGGTGTTAGTTTTCACGTATCGAAGTTAGATAGACTGCTAGTGATATAACCAGAAGCACTCATCCGCCTATGTAAATATTCCACCGTCCCCTCTAGACAGCTGTTTACTCCCACTTTCACCAGTATAAAACCTTGTCGATGATAACGAAGCAAATCTACGCTATCCTCAAAACACCTGCATAGTTAAACATAATGACTGCTTTGGAATTTGGCAGAGAGCCAAGAAAGAAAACGTGATAAAAACAAGTTTTGCATGCGGGACAGACCTGCTTTGCATCTGTAACGGTGGGCAGGACGACCAACTTCTCCGTGTTACGCATTGTTATTCGCCAGAGTTCCTGGAGAGGAGAAAACGAAAGGCATGTACTTAGGGACCATTGTTGCCACACCCATTAAACAGCCACCACGCATGAGGTGGTTCACTCACCTTGAGTAGCCGTTTAAGGACAGTTTTCTCGCAGGAACTGGCCTGGGCAGAGAGGACGAGCTCAAAGTGATCCATCAGCGGGCGCAAACAATTCTCGCATTCGGCTTCCATGTTTTCGGAATTTCCGGAGGAGTCCTTGCACTAGGGGTGGGGGCGATAGATAAAGGGATAAAAAAGTTAGTATATGAGATGGGAGACACTGGACCTGTGAGACAATAATTCAATTCACCCGAAATTGGAGGATGCAATGCCTACACTCAACCACGCATTTTTTTAAATAAATTGGCCATCTCTGAGTTCGTGGCAGACGTCCACACTCAATGGGCTTATTGCTTGGCCTCTCGACCCGCACTCTTCAGTGCTTGCGCGAGAATATTGACCCACGCCGAACTTAAAAGTAGGGCCGGGTCCCATCGAGAGAAACACAACAGGCCTACCGCCACTTGTTCGGGCATTCGCGTCCAAAGTAATCTTCCCCTTCCTTACATAATCGTTTGTTCTACAAACAGACCAGGCCTCCTAAACTAACCCGGCGCTCTTTTGACGAAGAAAGACATCGCCTGGGGGCATAATCACATGGAAAGCGGCCTAACTGGTGACTCGGGTTCAGCTGGTCTACCCAATGAGCTATCGTGGGCACACCCACCAGCTATAAGAAGCAAGCGATACGCCGAAATAAAAGCCAATACCGCCCGATTATTGAATTTTAGGTGTAGTGTCATCACCCATATGGGTCCTAGACCCGAAGATCTTGTCACGCAAATGCCTGCATTCTCTTCTACAATCAGAATAACCCATGCATTCACCTCCTGCGCGACTTTGAATGTTTTCCATGCAGGAGAATATTACCTACAAAGAGCAGCGAGGCTGGAATGGACATTTCGGGCTTATTAGTCCTCATCCTGATCAGCCAGCCAACTATACTCAATGTCATGTGCAGCCCAAGTCTACAATTACTTAAACCTAATTTAAAGAATTTTTTTCCCAGGTACAAATTTGAAGCAAGCGAAAACGGCAGAATTTATTTGTACAAATAAATTTCGGGAGAGCTTGTCAACTACTTCCCCTCTTTGCGTGAATAACTTAAAGGCAATTGGGGAACACAGCATTTTGAATTTTCACAGAATCGATAATAGCAAGGTTATTTTTCAACGCGGCGAATAATCAATGGTAATATCACCTTTAAACTTGGGAATGAAAAGTAGGGACAGGAATTAACAAGAATAAAAGATTGATTAAATGTGGCATGCATTTACCAGTACAGTGGGAGATTAACCACATGGTCTAACTGCTTAGATAGGTCGGCTTTCTCCCGCCGTATATAGACTGCTTCCATGTAGCGCAAGGTCCGGTCTGTTCCTGCTCGAACAAGAACTCGGAAAGGTGTATTGATGTCAACAGAGTGACTACTGTCTAACAAGTGTTTTGTGCTGGAGGACCGTGGCACTTTGGTTTCTTGTTTTAAAAGCCAAGCAGGCGTTAAAATGACCTCGCTATTTATGATTCTGTGAAAATTTAAAATGCTGTGTGTTCTCCAATTGGTGCATTATTCATGCAAAGAAAGGAAGTAGTTGACAAGCTCTCGCGAAATTTATTTGTAAAAATAAATTCTGCCGTTTTCGCTTGCTACAAACTTAAAATTACTTTACGCGTAAGTCATCGTCCTCGCACCGTCATATCTTGGAGCACATGGTAGACCCCGTCAGATGCAACGGTTGAACTGTTGTCGTTAAGTATACAAAATGGCCCAACTTTCGGTGCAAAAAACTTGTCGAACTCGATCTGCCGTTACAGCTGCACTTGCGGTTTCTAAACTGCCTGCTGTAGACATTTCCTGCAAAGTAATTCGAGCATTTCACTATGCTGTTGGTCAAATATCACACAGGGCTGATCAAATTTTGCAATGCATATGGACCACTTTGTATAAGTTGTAAGAAGTATTTATAACTGAACAGCTGCAATGCTATACGAATGGGCCCTCTACGATTTTAAAAACTCCCATAATAAAAAATACATTTAAAGACTAAATGATATCCATTCTTTAAATAAATTTGAAAAAAAATAGGAAGACCTTTATTCGCTCCAAGGAAGCACAGCTTCAAGCATGGTATCTGGAAAATAAAGTTCCACCTTCTAAAGGGAGAAGTGTGTCGTTCTCAGCCGAGGTGGTCCATGGTTTAAACCCCCTGTCTTGTGCGGTGGGTCGTTTTTTCAACGATGGTGGTCTCTAACTCTCTCAAAAGTGCTTATCGTCCGTGAGTTTACACCGAAGCCCAATGGCGGCACACTCTGTTTGCTTAAATTGACCCCATTTTATGCAAGGGGCAGAGTTAAGGCGAAGATGCGGAAAAAAGGATTCAGTTATCTAAGTAGTTTGAAATTAAGGATGGTTATTGGGAAGGACTCAATGTCAAATTCGGAAAAGCGATAAACATGTTAGATCTTCACAAAAGCCTCAAGGAGATCCAATAGGCAAATTCACTCAAAAAGCTTACTTGGGTCCTTCTAAATGTACAAGAGAGAACACAAGGTTACCGTAAAGCTGCTACGGTGACACATATAGTATGAATCGAACACGCATAGCAGGGAAGGCTCTTACTTAGCCAACGCTCTACCAGTTGAGCTACAAACACCACGCCTTGCGCTGTGAATTCCATCACACTTGGATCGATTTTACCCGCCCAACTTTACCGCTCGTATGGAATCC